TTGCACACTTTTTCAAATCAGCTTGTCAAACAGTACAAAAAAACTTAAATCATAATAAATATTGCAATTTGTTTTTGTCATCTGCACTGAATCTCAAATGGTTTCAAAAGAGAAAACAATGATCTGAATGACTTCTGTTGATATTCACAGGAACTGTCTACACAAACAGACTGTTGAATCAAGCCGCTGATTCCTGATAAGAAGATCATGAGGAGATTACCTCAGAAACAGAGATACATCAGAACACCAGAGGAAATGATGACAAATCTAACTATTTGATACTTTATCTGTATCGCGTCTTTCTTCTTTTCTGGTATGAGGGAAAGTCTGATTTCTATTCGTAGCGAGTTCTTCTAAAATCAGACAATTTTGTCCTCAAACAGGAGCTGAATCATTGATGGTTGAAATAGGAAGGCTGTGTGAAACTACTAGCAAATCATCAGGTTGTGAATAGAGTCAAAAAGAGGAACAAATCAACTAACCACAGGAAAGTATTAGTAATCTTTACGCTAAGGCTGCATGGTTTCACAGCCATAAATGACATCAGGCCTAAAAAACATTAATAAGTATGCTGAACTTCCCAAGACGTAATATTTAAGCATGTCGAAAATTGCTGCATGCATATATATATAAATCATAATAAATGCATGTCTGCTCCTGATGCAAGGATCTTCATAGATTATTTTATAAAGTTTCCTCAGAATGAGAGAGAAAACATTTCAAGGAGAGGACGTCCCAGTAAATTTACCTCCAAAATGCTAAAAGCAATTAAAAAAAAATTCTACAGGGGTTTCTAAAAACAAAATACTGCAGCAGGACTTTGGTTTGCAAAGCAGAAACAAGAACAAACCACAAAAGTAAAGTAACCTTTGGACAAAAGTAAAAAAATCAGGGAGAATCTCCAACATTCTAAAGTGTTTATCAGCGTAAACACCTGATGTTCTCCCCTGTGCACCAAAGTATTCTAGAGTCAAATGTGAGTCCATCAAGCTAATCAATGGCCTAGTCAAAGTCCAGATCTCAACCTGGTTAAAACCTGAAGGTAGGCCAATAAATCAATAACTATATATATCACGATAAACACGTGATCAATCTCAAGAGAAAATACGTCTGATAGAATATTCAATAATATCACTGACCGCTGGCCCAGAGGTCAGAGGTTCCCACAGCTTTCTGGGAAATGTAGGCAGAGGAAAGTTTAGCCATTCAACATCTTGCGGCTATTTGCATATACATTTTTTTAGTATACATAAATTACATAAATTACTTTATTATCCATCTGTTTGTTTTTTCTTAATCTGGGACCTGAGTCCGAATGTCATATCACAAACAAGCGAAGGTGGTACGACAGTAAAAAAAAATCCTTCAATCCAAACTAAGCAAAGTTGGTGGAATCAACTAATTCACTAACTTTTTGGTTACCTAGCAACAACAAGCAGTTCCAAGTCCCCCCTATCCCCTCTACTTCGGTTACCTAGCAACAGCCTGCTGAGCAACTTGTGCAGCAGCAGTTTAAGGTTTCGCCTTATAACTACTCAAAAATAAAAAACAATGGAGTGAAGTGAAAAAACAGGAAAGACTTTAGATATTTAAAACAAAAAACTAATAATTATTGATATCGTCTGATATAAAACAATTACATTGTGATATATTCTTCTGCCGTATCGTCCTTTATCTGCAAATTGAAATGTCATTATGTTTCAAAATATAAAAGCTGAAAAGGTGTGTAAATGAAACTTGGATGATTTTTTTTTTTCAGTGTGCACAAAAAAAAAAAAGCTGACTCAGGTTGGCGCCAGCTTGTTTTTAACAACCACTCTTCCCAAAGAGTTTGATGGTTTCAGTGAAAACGCTGACTGATGAAAGTAGGTAACACCTTGGTGTCTTTGAACATGCATGAATGCTCTCACTCTCAGCGCTCATTAACATATGCGAAACACACTGTGGCATTTCCATGAAGTTATGTATTGTTTCCTCTTGCAAAGGAAGCTCTGAGCAGGTTCACTGCAACCACACACACACTGACAGCTGTGCTCTCTGTCATACAATTAATACTCTGACTGCAAGAGAGCAGGAAAAGGAAAACTCATTCAAATGTTTTCTGCAACTTTGTGTGGCCCAAAATTCACAAAACGCTCACTTTTAATCTGCAACTTCATGGCGAGCATCTGTGACGATATTCCTGCTGGATTCACAGCAAATAGCTAATTGATTTTACTGCTTTCATAAATGAACCCCAGATGTAAAAGTTGGCTTCTTTCTGCAGCCCAACCAACAATATTAACAGATTATTAGCAGGATTCATGTTTAAAATAATCATTTTTAAGCTCAAACTGCTGCAGTTCATGTAGTTTCAACCAGATGTCACTGCAAGACAACTCTGACTGAAAAATAAAAATATGAGCATTTCAATTAAGTCTGCATTAATGAACATCTTTAAGTGGTTCTGAATCGGACTTCTTCAATAAGTAATAAATCAATAAATCTCATGATAAATTTAAACAATATCAATAATTTTTACTTTTCTTTCTAACAAAAACTGGATGATAAATGTCTTCAGTCTGGTGTTTTGGTCTCAACTAAACCCTTTTCGGAGGGAAAATTTTGTCATTTTATTTGTTGTTTTATTTATTTTAGATATTTAAAATCTCTTCCAGTTCCAGAGTTAAATGTTCATTACAATTTAGAGTTTACTGATCGTTGATAGTGTGTTCTTATATTATTATGCCATTACTGCTATACTACTTGAAAATGTTCTGAAAACAACAATATTACTGTTTATCGCAATGACTTCTGGGATAATTTATCTTATCATGACAGTCTTGGTTCTGTATTTTACTATGTCACAATTTAATTTGATTCAGCTTTTTTTTTTCTCAAAACAACCGTTCATAATGATTTCTGCTTTAATCTATAAGTGTGCAAAGGATCTTCATGATCTACTTTAGTAGATGGAGACATTAAAGTGTCTTTTTCACATTAATTTTTAATTATTAATCCATGTTTACATAGAATTATTCCCTCACTACGTCCTCCATTTTGTTTTTTTTTCTGCAGACAGTCTCCTCCATGGTTAAAGTATTGTAAAAAATGTGCATAATTTCTCACCGTGTCAGATAAACATTTCGTATTCGTGTCGCCTGAGGACACAAAAAATGCATTATATTGTGCCCTTAATATGTCAAATGTTGTAATTAAAACAGGCTAATTTAAGATAAGGGAAATATCAATAAAGTCCAACCTATTCTGTCTGAAATCCACTCACGTTTATTCCCATCTCATCATGAAACGACTGGTTTTAATGTAATGGGAGAACTTCAGATATAATTTGGCCCTGCTGTTACGTAAAACATGTTTTAATTCAAAGCTTACTTCCGACATCTAGTGGACACAAACAGCAACAGCAACTGGATCAATGGGTGAAGTCAAGCGTCACTGAAGAGCAGTAACTTTAAGTGGGTAAAGAATGTTATTTTTAAATAAAATATAATACAACTGATTGCTTTTACAGTTTTTAATTAACAACTCTGAATACACAAAATGAAAGCAGCGAAGATGAGAAGAAAATATATAAATTTTAAGAGCTCCAGGATTATGTGTATCACACATTTTAACACCCACATTTTTCTGAGTGAGGTCTCTGAATTTTTGCTTAAAAACTTCCTTCCAGTCTAGTTTCTCTATATTGGCGCTGCTGATAATTATGCCGTTAGATTTGAGCCACCAATCTGAGCACTCAGTGAGCCTGATGTGAGCTCATGTAACTATGTAAATGAACGACAATTTGCAATACAGCCGTTTAAATCTGTGTGTAAATAAACCACTCAGTCAACCGTACAATAAAGTGGATATACTGTAAAGATTTTGGAACGTAATAATAATTTACAACTTGAAGGCTAGCAAGTTAGCGATATTTATAACAGTGGTTAAATTGTTTTAAGCTAAATGCTAACATTAGCATAGCCGCGCTAAAAGTTAGCTAAACGGAAGTGAGAATGTTAGCATTGACCTTGAAACATTTCGACGTATTTTAATGCCTAAACATAAAAAGACTTAACAGAATATAAAAATAACACAAACCTCAACTTTTTAACTTACCTTTAGTTTTGTTTGACCGGGGAAAAACGTCTTCCTACATGAGCTAACGTCAAGGGCTGCAGCTAGCTGAGACTTGGCTCCGTCCACATCAGATGCTTCATTTTTTCATTCTGAAATATGGAAAATTGTTTGGTAAATGTTTAACTGACAGTTAACCCATGCATTATACCCACTAAGGATATATTATACCTCTTTTTTTACGGATATAAAGGCCAAACTCCCTCTGTGCCAGTTCTGGAAGCTTCTCTCAGCTTCGATATTTCCCTTTACTCAACGCAATCTGACTATGACGTCATACCAAATTGATATAAAGTCGAAATGACAAGAAACGTTTTAAAATAAAAACTAAAAGTGTGACAAAAAATACAAATTCTAAGAAAAAAGATGAAATAAGAAAAAACACAAGAAAGTGCAAATAATGTCAAAGGAAGAGAAGATAACTTTAAAAAAAAGAAAAATAGTTGAAATGGTAAGAAAAAAAATCAAAATGACGATAAAAAATATATATAATCTTGTATAATCTATATACAATTTTTTAGATTAATTTAAAAATTATTTTTTTCTCAAGTTTTTTCTCACAAATTCAGAAATATGTTTGGGTTGTTTTTTTTTTTCAGAAAATAAAACCATATTTCTATTTTGTTTTTGTTTTTTTTACTTAATTAGAGTACTTAGTTGGAGTACTCCAACTAAGTACTCCAATACTTAGTTGGAGTATTTTGACGTATTTTGACTATTAACACCTACTATGATTGAGACCATATTCAAAGAATAAAAATAATTGCCCAATTTCAATGACAACCTTTAAACACTAGATGGCAGCAGAGTCTGGCGTTCTGCACTTTAACTTTTACTAAACATCTTTCTGTCACAGAAGTGTTGAGATCCATCCAGGAAATCCAACAGGGAACGCCGGACAGACAGACCGGACCCAGCCTGCCTGTGCGTGAGGCGTTCGGGTGATGAAGACAGACGCTGGAAATAAACTGACCTCTGGCCTCACAAATCTGACACCCTCTGAGTTTTCCATGAACCCAGAGACCCGCGCAGCAGATCGGTGTGTGCCTGCCGGGGGCCGCATTCGGCTGCAGGCAGACAGATGGACACACAGGCAGGTACAGACTCTTTCCATGACTGGGGTTATATTTAGGGTTAGAGGAAGGTGAAATGCTCAGATGATACTTGAAAAGCTGCTGGACTTGTTCTGACCGGCTAAACTGGGCTGGAGTGGGTCAGATCTGATGCTTTAATGCTGGTTGAACACTGAAAACATATTGGAAAATTTTGATTTAATTAGGTTATGTTTTGAGTTGTTATTGTTATTCCCAGACCAATTAGTAGCTAAAGTTTAACAGATTAGCAGTGATTTATTTACACCTGGTGTTGAAGGTTTCTGGGAACCACATGCAGTTTCTCGGGATCTGAGATGCTTTCATTGCCTAGAGTTTCACTCATCAGCATACAGACATAAAGTAAAACAGAGTGATGTTTTCAAGTATATTAATGGAACATTAAGTGGAAGAAAAATGTTTGGAAGAAAAGAAATGCACAAACTTTACTGCATTGACAGACCATCTCCAAGTTATCAGCTAAATATTTAGTTAACTAAATAATTAGCTACAACCCAAATATTTGACTTTCTAATCATATAGTTAGTTTGGAACATATAGCTAACAAACTAAATATTTAATTTTAAACTAAATATCAAGCTTGCTAAACAAATAGTTTGAAATTAAATATTTATTTGCTAAATATGTTTGTTGCTAAATATTTAGTTTTCCAAGCTAAATATTTAGTTTGTCAACTAAATGTTTAGTTTGGCTCCAAATTTAGTTTGCTAACCCAGATATTTAATTCCCAAACTAAAGTTTGACTTTGGCTCCAACTAAGTATTTTTGTTTTAAACTAAATATCTAGCTTGCTAACCAAATAACTTGATTAATTGAATATTTATCTTGCTAACCAAAATATTTAGTTTTGTCTCCACCTAAATATTTGGTTTGTAGCTACATAATTAACAAATTACATTTTTAGCTCCAAACAAAATGTTTAGTTTTAAAATAAAATTTCTAGCTTTCTAGCTAAATAGCTCGTTGGTAGACTAAATATTTAGGTTGCTAATTAAATATTTAAATTTTGTAACATTTATCAATGCGTGAATAACCTGATGAAAATCTGACTAAACACATATTGTTTTCTCTAATGAGAGGCTAAATAAGCCAAATCTTTGCTGTTAGTTTTTGACCGTGTAATTTTATAAATGATGCCCCACAAAATTAAACGCTTGAATAAATCACAGTGTGTGTAACGAGGTGATATCAGTCTTCGTTTTTACATCAGAGATGCATCAACGTGTAACGACACCAGCAGCCTCGGTGTGGTCAGCACGTTCCCATAGCAACGCAAACTCGACACCACCTCATTGGTAGCGATGAGCTCAACACCTGTTGCTGCGCTACGCTCTGTTTTCTCCTCGTCGTGTTCACAAATTCAGCTGTGAAACCTTCTGACATACACCTCACCTGCTCAGGTGTTACCCCAGTGCATGCTGGGAGATCTGCACACCTCTGCTCCACTCCTGCAGTGGAACCTCAGTCAGGAAACAGATTCCTCTGGGAAGACGAAACATTTAATGTTCCCCATTTCCAGTTATAGTCGCTCATTATATTCCTCTATCCTGGTGTCCTTCAGCTGCATTTCGCCATTTTATCTCAACTCAGGTTTTCTTTCTTCTATCAATAATCAATAGTTTGTCTCAGAATATGATTTTTCGGCTGTTTTTCCTGGATAACCTGAGTTTCATCAACTCACTCCTGGTTTGGTTTTGCTTTGCTTCCCATCTGAATTTTCTGGGTTTAATTACATTTTAGTTTAACGTGCAGCATTCTTTCTTTTCTATCAAAAAAATTTGTTTTAAAAAAGTGCAACTTTGTTTTTTCCTGTTTCTATATTTTATTTTTTTTCCTTTTCTTTGTTGTTTTTCTCTTATTTTCTTTCCCCTTTTTTCTTCTCATTCAAAAATGAAAATAATGTGCAACTTTCTTTTCCTTTTTGTTTTTCTTGTTCCTGCTTTTTTATTTTTCATTCGTTTTTCTTGTTTCCTTTTCTTCTCAAAAAATGCACAACTTAATTTTTTTCTCTTTCCTTTATTGTGTTTCCTTTTCTTTATTATGTTTTCTTCCCGTTTTCTTTTTCTCTTTTCCTAATTTTTTCTTTAGCTTCTCTCAAAAATGAAAAATGTTCACCTTTTTCTGTTTTTTCTTTTTTATAATTTCCCTTTTGTTTTCCTTATCCTCCTTTTCTTTTTCTCTTTTTTCATTTTTTTCTGGCTCTTTTCCTATTTTTCCTATTTTTTCTCTTCATCCCTTTTCCATTCTTTTCTCTTTTTTCTTTTTCCTTCTCTCTTTTATTTTCCTTCCTTTTCTCTCCTCCTTTTTCTTCTTCTAAATGCTTCTATGTGCAGCTTCCTCAGCTCCTCAGATTTAACTGATAAAGTTGAAGCCATTCAGACGGTAAAATGAGTTTCTGTTCCATTGAAGGCACTGCCGCTGTACAAACTCTCCAGTCCGTGTGACATTTAGGCTGTGAGTGGATATTAATTTAGACCCATAATTTCTGCAGCGAGTTGCACTCGATCGGGTTACAGCGTCCTGCTGAGCTCTGAACTGCATCCAGTTTTAAATAGACCTTCTCACAGGTTTATTTCTGTGTGTTGGAGGTAAATCTTCGTCTGTCCTCAGGTCTGCAGCACATCAGAGTCCTGATTCATCTTCTTCACTACTTCAACACATCCAAGGTTTTCCAGCGATATTTTCACTCTGGATGATGCAATAAAACCAGCAGGGCTGCTGTGTGTTTACCTGCATGAGCCGTTTGTTTGTATGTGGGCCAACTGAAGCTCACGGGTGATGTTGCTTTGAATGAGGATAAAAGTGAGTATTTTATTTTCTAAACTAGAAAAGGGCATGGTGGGATCAGAAATAATCACAAACATGATCAATAACAGCTAATAAGGGTTTAGATTCAGCTGCTTTTCTCCTCCTAATCTTCCAAAAAGTCCAGATTTGTGGAGCTAATAGTTCCTTGTAATCCTGTGAATCTCTGCAGCTCCTCCAGAGCTGCCATGACTCTCATGGGACACATAAATAAACCTTCAATATAACAGCTAGAGGGAACCAATCATGTAAAATAAATTTTTTGCATGTTTTTTTTGCTTCCATTTGGGTCTCAACTGATTTTAAAAATCAGTGAAGTGCTTAAAAAAACTACAGCTGCCTTTTTAAAAAAAATTTATTTGGAAATAAGTTAATGTTTTATGGCATCTAAAAAATTATTTGTTTAAAAAATGTCACATTCGACAGGCTCTGCCCCATCACCTACCAACCCAAGATGAGTTCCAGCAGGTTGGGTCAGCTGGTTTTATATTACAATGGCTGCTGGAAAAGACAGGTGAAACCAGTTGCTGCATCCTTGTTGGTTGTGCAGGATCTTGCACAACAGGATCTTGTGCATCTTCTGCTTTTCAGAGATGTACAGTTGTATATTTATGTTTCTGTTTGCAGCCATTTTCATGTGTGAGTGTAGGTGTTGATTTTTGTGGCGCGGCCGGCAGCAGGTTACATGGATTAAAAAAAAAAATCAAATATGAAAAAATAAATAAATAAACTGAAAATTGAAAGTGAAATTCTGGAGGGATTGGTCAATGTGAAAAGTTTTTGATTATCACTTAATTTATTAACTTTTGGCTGCAAAAAAAAAGGTTAAAGAAAAATTTTAATTCATGCAAAATGTTTCAGCATTCTCAGGTAAAATAAAATTGGACATTTTTACATTAAAAGTTATCGGAACAATTATGCAGCTAGATGTTAAGATTATTTTCTGTCATGAATTAGCAGTAATTAGATGTTTGAGGATGTTTTTCCTGGATTGTTTGACCTGGAATGACCCGGTTCTGTTGTGCAGTCCGTTTCTTTTCCATCAGTCAGCATATGAACTCTCCTGACTCACCTGTAGGTCTCGCCCTGATTGGCTGACCCAACCAGGAAGCAGATGGGTTTGTGCTGCAGATTAAAGCGAGGTCTGAGAGGCTGAATCATTTCCTCATCCCTCGGATCTGTTTGGACGACATTCTCCAGGATCCGGTGCTTAGAAGTGGGAACATGTTCTTCTGAGGAAACCAGCCCGGCCGAAGCTGCTGCCACCTGCCCTTGAGCCAGGCAGCAGCTGCTCCAAACTGGCTAACCCTGGCAGCCTGTTGCTCTATAATTAGCAGCTGCGTCCTTCCTGCTAATCTCCTCCACAGCTGCTCCAATCATATGGCTGGCCCTGGTTGCCATGGTGAACTAATTAACTCGTAAATGACCGATGGGAAACAAAGTGGCAAGAAGGAAGAAACCTGAAGTAGGGGGACACAACAAACAGATTTTTATTTTAAAGTTTTTTTTCCTGAACATTTCTCTGGTTGCCTGGACAACTGTAAACAAAACTTAATATTAAAAAAATAAAAAGTCTGACTTCTGTTTGATTATGTTTCTCTGTCTTTGTCAGGACATTATAAGCTTCATTTACTTTACTGAATAGATGCAGCAAAATCTGATCTCAGGTAAAAACCCCTGGGTGCTTGCAGCCAGATTTACGTGAAATTAAATAAAATTTGAGTACTTTGTGGTACACTTTTAGATTTTAAATAGCATCTTTTTGAAAGGCAGTGAAATTAATTAATTAATTAAGGTAATTATTTTAATCGGTTATTAAAATAATTGTCTATTTGTTGAAAGAACAACACACTCACACCAGCATTTAAGCCAAAACTGTTCAAAAATATATTCATTTTGCATTTAAGACAAGAAAAAACTTTGTTTGTAAATTCTACCCAGGACCTTTTTCTGTCTAATTATCAATCGATTAATTGAAAAAATACTAATAGATTAGCCCTGCACTGTGTCGATGTTAAGTCAAGCAGAAAGGGTTGAACTTTTTACATGTTGATGTTTTTAAGCTGCAGATGAAAACTGCAGAATGGTACGCGTTTGCGTTTTAGGCAATAAAATGTTTGATTTAGCATTTAGAATGAGTTTAAATATTTGGTTTTGCCTCTTTTAACATATTTGTAATGTATAAGAAGCTGAAGTGGTTAAGTGAAAAATCAGCAGAATGAGGCAATTTTTTATCCGATTAATCAATTAATTGTCAGAATAATCAATTATTTTGACTAAAATAATTGTTTATTGCAACCATTTTTTACATAAATGTTTTAAGACCCCACCCTTGTGCCACTGTTTTTCTTGTAGTTTATGGAAATCTTTATAGTTTCAGTGAAATGTGTTCTGCTTTCACTGATGAGTCATTTGGCTTAGTTGATTTCTCTCTCCAGATGTAAAAAATTTTTAAGTTATTTTTAATGTGCTGCCTTCACTTCCTGCTTGTCGTTTCCAGCGCCGTCTGTTGTGATAATCTAAGCAGCGCTATCAACAGTCAGCGCTGGCTTTCATGATGTCAGGCCCCCCTCCCTGTCAACTCTGCATTTATTACCACCTAACGAGCCTGCGTTGTCATGGAAACCCAGCGTAACCACTCAGCATCCTCAGATTCCTGTAAAGTTTCTTCATATTTTTTTTGTTCCTGCTTTTTAAAGAACATTTTTCTGTGTGGCTCAAGAAAAACAATCAAAGTGAGACTAGATAAGTATATTAAAAAAAACCTCTAAATATCCACCTGTAAAGGCCAGTAATTAGATAATGTACAGTAGTAGATTTGTGAACAATTGCCTTTATGTATTTGCAACCACCAACGTGAAATACTCATTAATGAAGAACCAATTGATTTCTTAATCAGCCCAATAAACCTCGTCAAGACAAAACACAGATTATCCATATTCTGGCTAACTTTTCAAATCGTAATCTAACTTTAAAACAGCTTCAGATGCACCAAAAAAAAAGAAGAAAAAAAAATTAAGAATAGAAAATAGCATTAAAACTAAAATTTCAAGAAACTAAAATCAAGTTTCAAACACAAATGAAGAAATCTCAATTTAAAAATAAACCAGGATATAAAAATTTGAGTCAAAATGAGTGTTAATATTGCTGTTGTTGGTTCAGTTTCACTAATCAAATTGATGCTGATGTTATAGCTGACATATCGTTCATCCCTAATCCTTGAAATAATAAAGTACACACAGATAAAATAGGGGTGGGATTATGGTATACAATTTTTTAAACATTCTCACCAAAGGAATTCAAACACATTGGAAGCAAAATTTAAGATTACATTGACTAAAGTAATTTTAGATTATTTAAATGGCTCAAGAGTTTTTTTGGATTGCACCCAAATCCATTTCCATCATCTAATGGTTTGGGGGGGAAAATAGAGATTTCTATTTAAAACAAATATAAACTAAAACAAAAAGCCATGTTAGTTCCCTTCTCTTTAATGGAATCCAATTGCCCACTTTTGTGATTGACCTATTTTTGGATACTTTAAGAATCAGTACTTTCTGCAGTAAAATGTTAAGTAATATTTTGGAATATGTTTTAGGTTTAAATGAGTATTAGCTAACAAAAATTCAATATTTACTTTACATGTTCCAGATTGTAATTCTGTAGATAAAACATGGCTGAATAGGCCAGCTAGAGTAAAGGCTTTATAACATTAAAGTGGACATTTTTCTCAATTTGTCTTTATTAACACTTAATTACTCTTGAACTTTCTTCATCCATGTGTAAAATGGCTCGAACATTCATAGGTTAGCATCAGGTTGTTATGACATAGTTTTAAGAACTGAATATGGAAAAAAAAAAAAGATTTTCCATCTAATTATTAACAGAAAAGATTGACAATAAAAGTGTTTTTATTAATAATTTTTCCACCACAATAAAATTTAACAAAGGCTCACTAAAAAAGTGTCAATTTCTGTGTTCTGTACAGCAGATACAGTACAAAATAAAACTGGCCGTGCAGTGGCACCACAGCCCATTGAATACCCCCCCCCCCCACCCCCAAAATGTTTTATTCAAACACTTTTGCACAATATTTACATCTTTAAAAAAAAATCAACAATAAAACCCAGCTGGCAAACAATATAGAAACATTTCACTAATGTCTGGCTGCGAAGACTTCTCGAGAGAAGCCAATGGCTAGTGAGCTAATTAGCTAACAGGCTAAAACCGCTTTCACGTGAACAAAAAATTTTATCAGAGTGCTACCAAGAGGTAAGTTAAAACTTTTTTCATTTTATAGGAAAAAATTGTCTCTTTATTGTATTTTTGCTTGTTTCTTACTTTCTGACTGCCTATATGTGACTGCTGGAGTAGCTAGCATTTAGCTACTTTTGTAAAGGAATGCACTTTGGTAGATTAAACCAAATGCCCTGGATGTTAGTCATATAAATGACAACAGTAATGCAATCTGAGGTACAAACATCAAAAACAACCACATTAATACTAACAGCTTGGTTGAGAACTTCGTTGAAGAGCTCAACGTAGCTGCAGAGAGCAAGAAAACCCTTTGCTATTTGCTACTAGCATTCAGTTAGCAGTAGGCTAGTGGTAGCTTCAATAGGTAAAACCAACGTCAGTGCAGCAAACGGCTAGTGTTAGCTTCGCCCTGTCGTTAGCAAACGACAGTTGGCTGATATGTGTCTGTACATTGTGCTGCCATGACTTAAACTTCTCCCTCTCTGCTCCAACACACACAAACACGAAATGCTAACATCAGTGCAGAGCAGTTTAAAGCTACGATCTGCGGTTGGGCTGTTGGTCTCTTCTGCTGGATCTGTAAACATTGCAGAGGCCCACAGGTAGGGTTAGCAAGATAGAAATATGAGCGTCAGCAATGGCATTATGACAACTGCTCTCTTGGCTAGCGCTAACGGTGTTTTAATTTCAGTCGGAAACCTATTTATAGTTTGTCTCGTTCGTTTTGTCTCGGAAGTTGGAACTCGCATTTGGGAATGACGTCAGATGCGAGTTGAGAACGTTCAACGGAAACGGCAGCCATAGCATACCGGAAGCTGGACTCGGGTAAGCTTGGAAATTGGGTTCACCCTGAATATGTTTATAACTGTAAATAACCATTCCTCTGTTTTTAGTAGAAACAACTAAACGGAGACACCCCAATTGAGTTACTTTGACTGTTATAATTTCCTGTTTAATTTAAAAATGTGAGTAATGGTAAAACCTGACTTTGTTGAGACCCTAAGTTTGGAGACGGGTTGTTATGAGGCAGATCTCGGTGAAGAGGGCCAAATCAAAACACCTTATCCCTAAACGGCACCTTAAGACCTGCAAGGCTATATGCAGAGACGAAATTCCCAGAGTCTTTGGTAAGACTTGTCATCTCAAGTACCTTGCATTGTTAATCATTCCAGGTTTTTCAAGGTGTTTTCTTCAATTTTCCTCTTTTCAGACATACTGGAAAAGGACACTTCGCAAGAGGTCATGCGGAGGTTTTTCAGCCTCCTTAGCTTACACCTGTCCCGTGTCTACAGACACAGGACAGGTGTACTTCGTAATATGACAATTGCTGAGGTCGAAGAGGCGAGGACCAACGCAAGTGAAAAGGATGAAGGATTTCTGATCAATGTAAGTCGAATGATATTGAGTTCCTGCCATTTCGGATCATGACAAACTGCTGGAAAATGGCAGGAACCAAACACCTCTCCTTTGCATTACAGGTAAAGGAGCACAAGACGAACCGGGCCTTCGGAGCAGCCAAGGTCTACCTTTGGGTGGTTAGACAAATGGCAGAAAATACGAGCTGAGTTGAACCCCTCTGCAGACATCACTAGGCAAAGTCAAACTTTGTACAAATACTTTTTAATCTGTGAATAATGGAACTAGAAATGTTTTTAAAAAGACGTCATTCCCAAATTCTTCAGAGGCAAACAAAAGGCAACTAACGGCACCAAATGTGTAATCCAGAAGTAGTTTTGAAGCTAAACAGTAACAAATATGTTAAACTTCAGGAATCCAACATTTATATTAGATTGGTTTTCCAAATTAAGACAAAAATAAAAAAATATGGCATATGGAGCACTATCATGTAATGTTGGCTGTAAAATACAGACTACACAGCATGGAGACTGGAAAATGAGATACTGTTGGTATTTTTCAGCCAATTCAGGCTGAATAATAAATGAATAATGACATCATCTTTGTGTGTGTTGGGAGGGCGTGGCATGGCGTCGAGATACTGAAGGCACAAAGTTACGACTCTCAGCACTCCGTCTCACAAAAAACGTTAAAAAAACTAAACATACAATCAACTCAATTTATCAAAACAAAACAGAATCAACTCCACATTTTCTACTTTTCCCCCCTCCTGCATCAGGAGGGGGCGGAGCTTCCCCTGAGATGGGCGGAGCTTGTAGCATCTGCGGTTCCTCCTGTGCATCATGACATCGTCTTTCACTTCCTGTGTGCTACATTATGTCAACGGACACCGATTAGCCAATCCCGGGAACCTTTTCCTCCTCCTCCTCATCTTCATCCTCCACCTCCTCATGTGACTTTATTTTCAGACTGCGTTCAGATTTTGTGTATTAATATCGTGTGTGTTTGTAAGGGAACAAGTTTTAAGAGAACTTTTTAATATTGCACACACGCGTCCTGCAACAAACACACACATTCAAGTATACAGTAATAACTGCACATCACTGTACATACATAGACTTTTAAATATTAAAATGTGACAAATAAATTAAATCCAACATGCTTTACTCGTCGTCGCCCCCTCCCTGATGGTTAGCAACACTGATTTAAAAGGACCAGGATTAAAGTTTGATCATTGCTCTATTGTTCACCTGCATCATCAGGAACCAAACCTTCGACGGGTCGCAGTGAGATCTGGAACATCGGTTCCTTCACAAGCTGATGAGAATTCAGGCGGTGCCAGAAACGAGCCAACGGCCCAAAACCCAGAGAACCTGCTGTTGATATTAATATTGTATGTTTAAATGTAAAACACCAGCAAATAATTAAGAAACCAAATCTGGGCTGGTGAATTGATTTAAAGATTTAATTTTTGGATCATCTGAATTTATTTATTTATTTTTAACCAATGCCACCATTTTGATTGACTAGTTTCTATTTGTTTGGACTTCAATTTTGACCAAATATAAGATATTTTTATTTTTTTAATTAGAAGAACAAAGTTATAATATTAGAAAAATGAAGAAATAATTAATTATCAACGCTTTCTTCACATTAAAATGACTTTTTGTAATTTCAAGACATTCTTCTGTTAATGCCATGACTATTTTTTCATAATTAATGAAAATTGCTGTATCCTGGCCCTAAAACTGTCATACAACAGGAGAAATTAATAAAATGCCACTTTTTGAAAATGTTTTGTCATTTGTAATTTATATCTTAGAAAAAAAATTAAGATTGGAAATCGGACCTGCTATGTAAAAAAAAGATTAAAATAATTGGAGATTAAATTTTTAAGCCACATCAGCTCTAAAATCTCACTGTACTTCTTTTTTGTGCCACATTTCTCATCTTTCCCTAGTAAAACTTTTTTTTTTTTAAATGCAGCTTTTGTATCAAGTCTAATTAATTTTTTCTTTGTTTTTTTTTTTTTCGTTACTTTTTGGGTCGTATTATTCGTTTCTTTGTTCCTTTAACAAATCTGCCTAAACTAAAAATAAAGCTCGTTAGGCTTCCTCTGAAGCCGATTTTAAAGGCATATCATGTACATTTTAAAGGGACTTCTTTCAAAGATCCAGATTTAACAATGCTGCATTTTTATTCTGGGACGTCACTAAAGTATTTACACAGATTGAAAAACAATCTTCATCTAAACCTTAGTACAGTGTATCCAATCATTCTCAAAATATTCTAGTTTCTGCCTCTTTAGGCCTCCATTTTGCTCTGTTTGGTGAATTTGACAACAATCTGCACTTTTGAGCTCTTCCAATTGTAATTGTTCTTCAATTTGATACAATCAAATGAGATAAAAACAGCAAGTGTTTTAAAAGTTTGTTTTAGCCAGAGCCTTTGGTTTTACTGAAAGCTTACCTCATTATGTATGAAAAGTATTTTCCCCCTCACAGTTTTCTGCTTATTTTTGATTATTAGTGTATTTAATAATAAAGAACTGAATTATGTATTTACTCAGGTTGTCTAATATAAATTTGTTTAATCATTTTTCCATTTAAGGTGGAGGGAAAAAAAAGAAGAAATCTGATAAGAGTCAAATTACAACAGGTTCCTATTTAATATCCACATAAACTTTACTGCAGACTATTAAAATTGTGAGTTATTTTATAGATTTGTTGTAAAAACATGTCAATTTTATGCTTCTTTTTAGTTTTTTTTTTCACCATTAGAGGCCTCGATTTGAACTCGTCTGTAAACCACGCTGAATTTACCTTCTGAGGTTACGACTCCTTCATCAGCCTGGTCGAGCCCCAAAAATTCACATTTGGTTTCATACAGAGGGATCAAGCCTGTTCTCGTAAACAGAACCACCGTTTCTACGTCCTCAACCGTCTCACCTGCTTTACAACCTGGAAAACAAACTTAAAATCATAGAAAGTAGAAATATTTTGTTATTCTGTCTGAGAATGATAAGGCCGGGCAGTGGAGAGCTGACATGCTATGGCTATAACGGCTAATGCTAGCCAAATGACTGATATACAAGGCAAAACACTGAGTCAGCTACTGTTAGCCAACTCTTTTGTGTGTGCTAGGCTAACTGCTAGCTAGTTATGTCGAAAATAGGTAGCAACATTACAGCTAAACATGAATATATAGCTGTTTACCAACTCAGTTCATGCTAGTTAGCAGTTAGCCAGCTAACAGGCACTACGCTACCATGCTAACATGGCTAGCTAGTAGATATAATATAAAACTGGCTAACTAATTCTGTTAGCCAGCTCTCAGGTAGCTGTTTAAAATCAGGGTTTAGAGAGTTTTGATGCTGTGATTTGGATCGTTGCCTATCAGAACCTCAAAAATGAAATGAACCAAAAAGCAGACGCAGCTTTAGGGTCAAGAGACACACGCTACAATCAGTTGATGACATAAAACTGAAGGTGAAACCCTAAAACTGTAGATAAAAACCTGTAAGACTGAAGTCACTCAACATTTTTGGTGTTAAACTGATTTCATGACTCAGCTAAAAAGATTGTTATAAAATATTTTAAAAAGCCTTGTTCCCTCCATCAGCACCATGTTTCTGATGTGTTTTAGTGAGTTTGGAGCTACAGAGCAGTGTGATGTGTTCCGATTGTCTGAACCGCCCCACAACGTGTCGTCACTTTACCGTCCTTTTGCCCAAACTTCAAACTTCATCCGCTTCCGATGATTTGAATTGGAGGTTTCCGATTGCACCCATGGCCCTTTAGTTTAGGTTGCATCCCAGCTTGGTTAGGTTCTTCAATAATCCAACGTCAGGACTGCATCTCACTTAAATGCACCCCAGCAATGCAATAAATAACCAAATGCGCTTCACAACTGGATAGACCAGTTTTATTCAGGTCTAGCTGGTTACTTTTGAACTCAGCCTTTATTCCCCACCACGGGGGGTGGGGTGCATTCACTCTCAGCTAACTAGTTTGGGCAGCACCGTCCTTGGCTGGATGTTTCCGTTGGCGTCTGTAATGGCCGCTAAATTAGTCCTTGTTTTGGTAGAGGTGGTGGCTGTGGAGGTGGAGGCCAGTTTGGAGATGCAGGTGATGGAAGCGTCGCCGTTGTTGACGGTGCGTTTGGTTGGGGCAACTTTCTCTCCTGTGGTTCCGGACGGAGGTTTGGGAAGCCGCCTCCTGAGCCAGGGGTGGCGCAGCGCCTGGCTCGGCGTCATCCTGAGCGCCGGGTCCCATTCAAGACACTGTTTGAGGAAGTCCAGGAAGAGCGGGTCATCGCAACCCTTCAACGCGGCGCTCCAGTCCTTGCTGCCCGGGGGGCCGCGTGTCTTCCCCCGTCGGGAGCGTCCTCCGTTCAGGACCACGGAGCCGTCGGGCATGGTGGTGACGGTGCAGTACCGCGGGTAGCCTTTGGACGACACGAAGTTCTTCGCTCGCTTGGAGGCTTCTAGGAGCTTCGGACTGGGCATGCCTATTAGTTCAATGATGCAGGCCAGCTGGTCGGATTCGTCTTCGCCTGGTAACAGTGGATAACCGGTCAGCAGTTCAGCCAGGATGCAGCCCAGGGACCAGATATCGATAGGCATCCCATACCTGGAGCCTGGAGAACAAAGTCCAACAGGTCGTTATCTTTCAGGAAGAAACAGATTTTAAGAAAATTTCTGCAACCCAACAAGCAGTTTATCCATTACAATGATTACGGCCATCTAGTTTCCACGTCTTTCTATTGAAAAAGCTGTTTTAGAGGAATTGGGGTGATAATCAGATAGACTCAGTTTGATTGGGGACTAAAAACTCAACATTCGTTACATATTCAGGTGCTGCAGTTCTTTCATACTGCACTGCATCAAACCCTTTGAAAAACCTCTCCCCTTCCTCACCTGTGGGGGCGCTGCACCAAGAACCACTGAATGAAACAACAAAAACCTTTGAAGAAAACATTGAACACAACTTCCTTCTTCACCAAATGTTAACAATAATGGAGTCAGATTTTAGCAGGTGGAGAATTTCTTTTTTGTCTTTGGTAGAAGACGGCTCATTTCTCCTGCTAGCACTAGGCTAATGTGTTTGTTTTGGTTGCATTTACCCAGAATTCCCTGCACTATAGTCCGCTTCCTGCTTTTGGAGAGGTTTCTGGTCTGCTTGATTTTCACATATGCATTCGAACCGAACCAGAGTTCACTTCAAGTAAACTGAAACCGAGGTTTTAGATGAACCAGTTTGCTTTTTGGTTCGATTACACATTCACACACCCCCAAACGAACCAGAGTTTGACTAAAGAGGACTAAGCAGGACTGGTGGGAGAATACCCTTAATTTAGTTTCTGACATGATTTAAGAAGACCTTTCACCTCTCGAGGTCCAGCTAATATTCTTCTGGTCAAACAAAGCAATTAACTGTTTGAAATAGCTTTTCGAAACATCTATAACTGGCATCAAGTTAAATTTCCAAAAAGCTAATAAAACAGTTTGTTTCAAACATTAAATGTGTGTTATTGTGAGCGGATTGTTGTAGCTGCTGCAGCTTGGAGCATTCCTTACCTAGAATCACCTCTGGAGCTCTGTAGAACCTGGACTGGATGTAGGTGTAAACCCTCTGGTGTTCATAGCAGCTGGAGCCGAAGTCTATGACCTGCAGGAGAACAGAGTCCTGTAGTCCTGCGACTTGAACTTTTTAATAAATATTAAAGAGTTGTTGACTTTAAATAAGCTCCTATATGTTGCTGAAAAGTTATTTGTAATATTTGACTCATTTAAATTCTAATATATTTGCACTATAAACTAGACTGAAATACTTGGTAAGGTTTTGTGTTTTTGCAGTGCGTCTCCGGCGGACAAGGGACTCGTGTGCTTTACCTTGATGCCGCTGCGGCCCTGCTGCTTGAGCAGAATATTCTCTGGCTTGAGGTCGCAGTGGATGATGCGGTTCTTGTGCAGCGCATCCAGACACTGCAGGATGGAGTGGGCGAACTTCCTGACCAGCGGGAGGCTGAAGCCCTGGAACTTGTTCTTCTTGATGAGCTCGTAGAGGTTCATGCTGAGCAGCTCGAAGGTCATGCAGATGTGGTTGCGGAAGGTGAAGTGCTCCAGCATGTGGATGACGTTCATGCTCGAGTCCTTGTCCTGCTTCCTCAGGTGCTCCAGGATGCGGATCTCCTCCGCGGCCTGCCGGTGGAAGCGCTTCTCGTTGCGGACCATCTTCAGAGCCACGTGGGTCTGGGTTTTATGGTCGAAGGCCTTCACCACCTGCAGGAGGGGAAACGCGACACGCTGATTAATGTTTAATCTGTCAGAGCAGGTGGCGCTCACATCAACACGTCATCCAAACCTGACCAGAACAGCAACAAGTGTTTCAGGAGGAAACACGACTCGTTTAAATCCGAATATAACTGCAATAAACATTTGAAATACCAAAACATTAAAATACAAAAGTTAACAGCAAAATTGAGAAATTAAAAGACAAAATGAAATTTAAATTATGTCAAAAATAAAGTATGGCTGAAACAATTAATTGAATGAATCATGATTAATCGACTGTTGAATTAATAGTCAACTAATTTAGTAATGATTAATCGTTAGCTGGAGTGTACAGACTGAAAAGTGATTAACACATTCAGAGCAGTAACTAAGGAAAAACTGTACAAACAAAACATTTTGATTACAAGATAAAAATTTCTGTATTTTTTAGCTGAAGGTGCATCATTTGCTACAAATTATGTTTATTTGGATCCTTTAATGCATTTCTAGAATTCTATTAAAAAAAGCTTTTGTGGATAAATAAAAAAATCTCCAGGATGTTGCTTTTTAATCAGATTAATTGATTCCTTAGAATAATCAATAACAATTTTGTTACTTTTGTTACTAAAAAACATTTAAAACAGGAAAGAGTGACTGAAAGCAACAACGACAGAAAAACATGGAAAATATAAAAAATGATCTCCAAACAACGAAGCCACTAAAAGAGCAACACAGAAAGACGAAACAACACAAACAACAGACACTTGAAAGAGACTAAAAATTCAACAAATGAGCAAAAACTATGGAAACTAACAGCAACAAGTTGCCAAACCACCGGGAGGTTCCAGATAACAAAAGGAGAAATATGAGAACAGAAAGCAGAACTGAGACCAAAACAGGCGCATTGAAGCAAAACAGCAAAAACAAAGTCTAAACTACAAACTGCTGGAAGATAAAACTGATTCAACACAAGCAAATAACACAAGATATCACAACATTGTGGTATTTAGTGATTTATAATCCACTGCGGTCTTTTCTGCTCTGATATCTAATGTATTTAGCTTTAATATGGATTTCTGTTGCTGCTCTCATGGAGAAAACAGTTGAAAAACATAAAGTCACAATCCTGATGATAATTTTAGATTTTGGGGTTTTTAAATGGTTCGCTAATAAATCATCCTGGCTACAGGAAAGGAAGAGTCCTGACCATCAATGATCCATTAAATAACCAGAAAATGATGAAAGCAACCACAGTAAGGCACAACATGAGCAAAAATAATCTAAAGCTGGGCTGAAACGATTAATCAGATTAATCATTTAAAAACAGTCAACTAATTTAGTAATCGATTAATCGTTAACTGGAACATACAGACCAAAAAAAAAGGACATTTTCTGAAAAAACATCATATTCAGAGCTGTAATTAAGCCAAAACTGCACAAAAAATATACATTTTGCATTTAAAACAAAAACACTTTTGTTTGTAAATATGTTTTAGCCAAAAGTGGCAGTATTAGCTTCAGTTTCGCTAACTGAGTGCTACGTTACTGCATCTTAAACACTGAAATGTTTATTTTCTTACTAAATAATGTACCAAATTATTTGGATATTTTAATGTATTTCTAGTATTGTATAAAAAGGCTGAAGTGGTTAGCAGCTGAAAATGAAACAAATGCTGCAACTTTGGTCCCAATCAAACCGAATCGACCGGACAATCAGCTACATTAGCATGTAAATTAGCTTTGAGCTAACGCATTTCAAGCTCCGTTTCTGCTGAATATTTTAGGTTTACTCCACAGAAAGATGTAAAATATTAGAGGGCTGGAGTTCTCAGACAACTGACCAATCAAACGTGAAGCCAGTGTGCTCGTACCTGTCCGAAGCTGCCCTTTCCGATCACCTTCAGAACCTCGTAGCGGTAAGCGATTTGGTCATGTGGCACCTGGATGTAGGACCCCTGTTCGTCGTCATAGCCGCTGTTGTTGGCTGCACCCAGAACGCCGTTGCGTTTCTTTGCGTTCTGGCCGATGAAATACACTGAAACAACAGAGACGAACCAAATCAGACGACGTTCCCACGACACAACCAACCCCAGGCGGCGCTCCCGGTCGAAACGGATCACCTTCGGGGTAGCTGAACACCTCGTGGTGTTCGAAGGACGACAGCTTGGACATGTACTGCTTCATGGCCAGGTCGGGCGACATGGGGCAGGGCTTTGGCTTGGCGTCCCCCTGCTTGTTGGTGATGGTGGTGCTCTGGCGGCCATGATGGGTGGCGTCGGTGGCTGAACTCTGCCGGTCCGGGAGCGGCATGCCCGTCCGGCTGGAGCTGAGCGGGGCCAGGCCGTTGGGCTGCGTGCTGAGGACTGATCGCCTGTTGGAGTTCTCCTCAAACAGCTGGGTGATGTGGACCTGCGACTGAGACGAGACCTGGATGTTGTCCGACATGGCAGGCTTAGAACCTCCCTGGAGAGGAAAACAGAAGACAGCGTAAAGGAGAAGGCACCAACAATTCACACTGAACATTATATCAAATAAAATGTTCATGGAAAACTTTTCTTCTCTCTTTAGATTGATGACGACTGTTATCTGAATATTTCATATAAAAACAAAGATCTGATAATCCCAAATGGTTTTCTGATCACAGTGGATGAATATTGAAGGTTTCTTGTATCTCAACTCCATAAATAACTAAACATGCATGACAACATCCTGCTGCTGCTTTTTAAAACTAATTAGTTCTTTAGGAGAATAAAGAGAAATATTAGCATAGCCTAGAAAAATAAACACAAACATGATGAACACAGAATGAACGTGTGTACTTATTAATGGATTCGAGTCGCCCCCTGTCGCCATGGAAACCAGCACACCTGGTTCCTTTCAGACGAATTCACACACACATATGGTGAGGCAGCTCAGTTCAAAGAGGTGTGTGTGTGTGTGAGAGAGAGAGAAAGAAACACGACATCAAACCGTCCCTCTGAGATCAGGTTGGTGTGTTTCTGCCGTCAGATGTGACAAATGGCCGACTGTGAAGTCGTGGCTCCGCCCACACCTGAAAACAATATGGCTGCTTCGCTGATGAATCATCACAGGAAGGGCCGACAGGTCAGAGGTCGTGAAGCGAGCGTCTGATTTGAAACCAGTTCAGAATCATCCGGTTGGAGCTGAAATCATTACTAACAGATTCAACCAGAGAAAAGAGAAAAACGTTTCTGCCGACGGTGATAAAAAGAATCCAGGTCCAAATCAAATTGGATCCGTTCCAAGTTCTGCTGAGCGACGAACAAACATGGAGTCTTCCTCTGGATCCAGGATGAAAAGCAGCGAAAAAAAAAAAACGATTCTGCAAGTTTTCACAGAAAACCCAGAGTTTTCATGACGAATTTAGAGTTTCAGATGGATGAACGGATGGATGAACGATTGGAAGGTTGAACGGTTGGTTGTATGAACGGTTGGATGGATGGCTAAGAAACATACACAGGTATAAATTAATTTTCTGTTTCCGGCTGCAGACAGCTCCGGGGGTTAGTGGCGCCACCTGCAGGAGAATCTGAGCAGAGCAAGAACCCTAGTGATTGTTCCCAAACATCAGAGCTGGCTGAAGTCAGGAGGAACATCAGTGATGCTGCAGCTGTGAAAACACCCTGAAGAGCAGGCCGCTGAGAGTGTGTGTGTGTGTGTGTGTGTGTGTGTGTGTGTACCGTCAGGGGGTTGTGGTTGTTGTTGCGCAGTGGCGGCAGGGCGACGGGCGATGTTGTCTGAGAGCCGCTGTGACCAGGAGAGCAGACCGGCTCGCCCGATTTGCCTGAAGGACGCAGAGAGAGAGAGAGAGAATGTGAGGAATTTCTGAAATATCTCCAGATTATTCACCGTTTTTATTTCCCACTGCAGAATATTCATCTGCTTGCTTCTGCGTTTTGTTTTAAATATTAAAGATCAAACTGTTTTATTTAATCAATCAAGGACAACCTGAAAAAAATACAAGATTATCATTTCATTCATTGAGGGAGACGTTTACAGACTTGTAAAGCTGTAAACACATGGAGCCACAAAAATACTGAAAAACATTTTTTTTTAATTTGTATCTTTTTTATTTATCTGCTCAATAATAATCTAAAAAAATAGAAATGTTATTCTTGTAGAATATATCTGGTAAATGTACTTTGGACATCCCTCATTAATCACTTCCGTTTGTTAAATCTGAGGTCAGGAAATCAGCTGAAAAGAACCAGTTGGACTACAGGAAGTAGGCTGACTGTTCCCATAAAGCAACACGTCATAATGTACAGAAAAACAAACCACATCACATAATTTCACTGAAACTAGCCATCTGTCAAATGTTTTTAAGATTATTTTTAAATTTATTTTTAAAATAATTTCTTTTTTCAAATTGTTAAGATTATTTTTATGTTTACAGGCATTTTTTATTTATTTCTTTTGTTTAATTTTGTTCAAATTATTTGTGTACATTTATGCATTTTTTAAAATGCAATTCTTAAGAAGCATTTATTTCCTAAAATAAATGGCCAGAACATGCATGTTGCGGCGTGGCCTAGTCAATGTCCAGAGGTAAACCTGATGACCTTATATCAGCCATTCAGCCCATAAAATGTTAAAATAATTCTGCAAAGCAGACGTTGCTGCCCGGCACACAGACTGAGCTTTTATTTGAATGATTCCAGAGCCTTCGGAGGAGCAGGTAATGTGCGGTTTGTCCCTTTAAATCAAGATTTGATTGAATTCTTGCTCAGGCCGTTCTGGAGCAGCTTTGCTCTGGACTCAATCGGTCAGCAGATTGACTCGGCCTAAAGACGGATGAAGGTTTTATTTTAGCGCGGTAATCCCTCGACTCTCCTGCAGCTTCACCTCCTTTAGCAGAGATGTGACGATAGCACACAGAGGTCAGAGGTCACGCTGGATGAACCACAGCAGAGGTTCTCTGAAAACTTTTCCTCCTCCTCTGCTTCATGTCTTCCTCGCCTCACAGATCCAGGCGGGTCAAAAACACCTCAGATCGTCTCCAACCAGCAGGGGATATAAAGATGTTGCTCCAGCCGCTCGGTTTTAGAGGAAACGAAATGTTTCTACGATAATCAGGCAAAAATTAAGAAACCGAAAACAATCCAATAAAGCAAAAATTTTTATTTTGTCCAATCGGCAAAAAAAAAAAAAGTTCAGATTGTCAGGTTTACTATAATAAAAAACTGACATTTTTACCAATTGAATTTACAATAAATTTAAAGTCTTTTTAATTTATACACTGGGAAAATCTTGACAGATAATTCAGATCAGTGCTAAAAAAGAAGAATAGTGAGACGTGTTGCAGGCTATGTGATAGTTATGATTACCTTTATTTATTTTTTTAATTAAATTTATTTTTAAGAGTTATTTACATTTTTTATGTAATTTGAAACTTCATTTGTAGATGTTTATTTTTTAAATTTTAAATTTTCACGTAACTATAATGTATTTTTTAGAGATATTTTTTGCAACTTTTTTTAAGTATTTATTTTGAATGAAATAAAAGGTCATCCCCTTCCCCATTCATGTGGTCATGTGACATTCTGATAACCAATCAGAGCACATCAAAGGGAAAAAGGTGGATTCTGATTGGCTGACCGGATCTCTACTTTAACCCTGGAATATTTTTAACATAGACATGATTTCTTTTTAAAATATTCCGTAAGTTGCTTTTTCAGGATAATTTCAACACGTTAAAACTTAAAATCAGATCAGGGAATAGTTCGGTATTTTTACTGAATAAGTTTTCTGACAGCTGGGATCAATCTGCATTTCCAAAACCGTCTCAGGCTTCCGGTCGCAGATTGTTTCTGCTGCTGTAATCTGGACGCTCGCTGTAATCCTGCTAATGAGGAGCGACGGGCAGCCATGACGGGTCCTAGATAAAGTCTGTTTGCTCAACCCGAACCCACCCAGGAGGATTTCCCCATTGGACTCGTTTCAGGACTGGTTCCTGCTGCTAGCCGGTCAACTGCATGACCTCCTGCCTGTAATGGCTGCATCGTCGTTAAATATTAAACATTTGCTTCTTTCACTTTCAGCCTCTCAGAGACGGTTTGTTCTGAAGAAGTGAACCACAATCAGACATGTTCAAAGAAGAACTGAATGTTCAAATTATACTGGAAAAGATTATTTTTAACAAAAAGTGGATTTCTTTTTGAAATATTCTAAATTCAAATACTGCAGGTTAAAACTGGAAGTCCAATCAGCTGATCTGAGAATCTGTCAATTTCCTCTTGATGAAATTAAGTTACAAAAAAATAAATATATAAAAATGCAGCTAAAAAATAGAAATTGCATTAAAAAAATCTAAACTTAAAAAAATAAATAAATAAAAATACCTCTAAAATGAAGTTAAGAATTACATTAAAAATTCTTAACCCATTAAAAAAATTAATGGGGTAAAAAAATACTGCTAAAAACTAAAATTAAAAATTACATGAAGAACTTATACCTTTGAAAAATAAATGCATAAAATATCAGAATTTTAAATAGATGAACACTCTCCACTAACAAAAATACCTCTAAAATATATTTATGTAAATTGTGTAAAAAATAAAAATAATCTTAACATTTGAAAGATAAATTTCTAAAAATAAATAAATAAAAAACTATTAAAATTGGAAATAGGATTTGGTATGAAAAATTGTTTATGTTTTTGCGCCGTATCGACCAGCCTTCACATGGTGGTGGCAGCTTGATGCTGTGGGACACTTTTCATCACTTCCACATTTTATTTGTTTACTTTTCTACTGGATATCAGCTGTTAAATGTTCTTCTGAAAAAATAAACCACTAAAAGCAGCTTCAGGTGTGGTTCTGCTCCAAGCCTGAGTGAAGCACCACTGATCCATTATTTCAGGCATTATTGAAGATGAATCTGCAGAAAACCAGAGCCGCACAAGTCATGATGCCAGAACCGAGAAGAAATGTGGATGGATCTGGTCCGTGATGGAGAGGATTTGATTTCATCTGCAGGAGCTCGTCTGACTTTCATCAGCACTGGACTCTAATCCACGAATCCTCCTCGGCGGCACACCGAGACTCCAACTGGGACCTCTACTGGAAAACACATTCCGTTTCCTCTGCCCAACACCTGACAGATGCACGCCACCAGAGCGGAGCGGCGCGGTTCTGAACGCAAACCCGACACCGGGCTGGAAATGCCGGAGCGCCTGGCATGCTGGGGAGAAGTGACCGCATGGAGGGTCGGCCAGCTGGGCCGGGAACTCACGGAGGAGTGGGCCGCAAAAGTTCGCAAAGCGACCCGGAAATTACGGCGCTGCTCGACTCATTCGGTCTCAGGGCTGAAACGATTAATCGTCTTTTGTAATAATCGTCACCTAATTTTCTAAACAATTAATCGTTACCTGGAGCATTAAAAAGGCTCATTGCTAAAAGAACAGCAGCCTTGAAAAATATGTACATTTGGATTTCAGATAAAAATAAACCTTCTTAGTCTGTAAATATTTTCTACACAGAACAATGTTGGGTTAGGCTGAAACGATTAATCGATAATTGAAATAATCATCAACCAATTTAGTTATTGATTAATCGTTACCTGGAGTATACAGACTTCAGAAAAAGACAATGTGGTGAAAGAACAACATATTCAGCAGAGTAATTAAGCCAAAACTGTACTATTAATCAACACTCTATTGATGTTAAGTCCAGCAGAAATATTTTTCGCTGCAGAATCTGAATCCCTTAATACAAATTATCACATGTTCAAAGGAACGCTATTCCATTTTAATCAGTAAAATGTTAATTTTCTTTAAAAAAGGAATGTAATTGTTTTACATCTAATTTAATTTCTAATATTGTTAAAAAAAAAGAAACTTAAGATTGTATCAATCTTCTAATCCAATTCATCGGTTGACAGAATTAATCAATTAATCATGAGAATGATCAGTTAATCGTATGAATAATCAGTAGATTGAACATCATTAGTTTCAGCCTTGTGTCTGAGGCACAGTGAACGCAGCAAACTTTAACGCAAGAGGAGGAAACTGGTTTCTTCTCATCTGGACCAGAACCGATGTAATTTTCCACTGAACGCCTGAAGGAAGAAGATCTTACTGAATCAAAACAAACCTACAAGTCATGCGTTTCTGACTTTTTCAGATGCTTCCAGCTTAAAATAACTGAAAAAACATTTTCACACCGAGAAATTGATTAATGCCCAACTAGCCTTAGGTGAAAGCAGAGAAGAAAAAAAAACTGTTTTTCCGGAGCCGGTTCGACTGGTATTCGTCACCGGGTCAAAATCCAAACAATCTCCCTGCAGGGGCCATTCTCTCTAAAAGTCTGTTTGTGTAAAACCTGAAAGAGTGACACCAGAGTGGAACAGAACCAGAACACAACCCACAGCAGTACAAAGTGTCCCCCACTCCACCCAAACACCAAGCCTAGATCTGAACCTGTAAACAACTGGTTGCAAAGTGCAGTTTCCAGACAGAGACGTGTTGGGTCTGAAAACCAAAACCACGCCGTGTCAAGCTTCGGTATTTAAGCTCACGTAACCTGAAACAGGACCAGACTGAGATGACAAGGCAATTACAGCAACGACCTGTGATGCAACATCCAAACAAACAGGAAAAACGCTGACTTTATCAGCCTGGTCCTTCCGCCTGGTTCAGTCTGATTCAAGAACCTTTCAAGGTGAACTTTCAAGTTCTTCCAGAGGTTTACAGTTAAAATCGTTGAAGAAATAAAACAAACACGTGCAGCATCGTAGGAGAAAGCCGGCCGTTTGGTTCACACGGCAAGATTGTACAATTGTCGGCCGATTTCCAAAACACACAGGAACCGATTTCACTCACCGACATTCGGGAAATCTCGCAGAACCTCTCGAGACCAAACGTGAATTCAGCGTAAACAAACATGGTGGGTCATAAGAAGCAGTAGCAATAGCTTTTTGACTGTATTTGGCAGAGAAAAATCAAAACAAAGCGTCTGCAACGTCCGTCGGACTTTCTGGTGCGTCATGGCGGTTGTCTTGGCTTCTGTGTATTTTATGCTGCGTTTCGGTTACCTCGGAAACTCGAAGTTGGATTTGACGTCAGACCCGTCACACCCTATTGTTTGGAATAGTGCTTATAAACATAATTTTAAGCTTAACTTCCCATTAGTAAATGCCACTTTTAATTTGTTCAGCTTAAAGTTGCAGGCGATGCATGATACACTGATTTTAGGCACTTTTGGATCTGTCTTGTAAAATACGGGCGTTCCCACCACCGCTTGTTGATGTTAACGCGAGGAGCGGCCATATTGAAACGCGAAGTCCGTCTTCATAACAGGGGCTACTCGGAGTTGTTCTCAGTTTCTTAGTGGGAAATCCGACAGGGAAGCCGGAATTTCCCATTTTAGAGTTTAACTAGAACGCAGCATTTGTTTCCGTCGCCTCGCTTTCTGATTGGCTGAACGTCACATTGAACGTGCTTGTTTGCCGGGAACCCCCCCCGCCCTGCGAAACCGGGGTAAAAAAAAAAAAAAAAAAAAAAAAAGATACCGGGCTAAGACGATCCACCATGTTGAATATCTAATGTCCTTCCGAACGGAATTGTGTTTTGTTGACATCGACGAATAGTTTTAACAATATTACAATATTTTGTAACTGGAACGCAGATCCTGCAAGCGCCTCTGGAAAAGCTTGTGTTTGTTGCTCTGCTGGAGATATACAGAACTGTACATTTCCACAAATTAAGTCACATTTTGAGATTGATTTAGGAAATTTTCTAGAAAAAACTTGAAAATGTCTGAGCTAAAAAAATTTTTTTTGACTTCACAAGCTCAGAATTTCAAGTTTGTTTGTTTTTTTCTTGCAATTTTTTTTTACTTTTGGAGCTCAGAAGCATCCACATTTTTTCCAGAAAATTACTGAGCTTAATCTAAAAAATTTATTTTTTTTATTGCAATTTTTCTAATTTCTTTCCCCTATTGGCAGTGGCCAGACTACACCATCACATATACCATCATGTGTTAAGACAACCAAAATGTAAAAACATGTGAAATGGGTCTAGAAAATAAACTGTTTCTTTGCATTTCCGACTAAAACACTTTGCAAGAGCCAATCTTCTCAATATGGACCAATCCAGATTCAAATCCAAAGCAATTGGTGTGCAATGCTGCATCTGGAAGAACCTCAAGACACCTCGAACAATGTCCTCATGATAATTGTAAAGCATGGTGGAGGAGGGGTGGTGATTTGGGTTTGCTTTGTTACCAATGATCTTTTCCGTATACCAAAGCATTCTTGAGACAAACGTGAGGTCATCTGTCCAACAGGATCAAACTGGATCATGCCAGCAGTGACACAACGCTACAGGAAGAGGACTGAGCCAAAACGTCTCCACAACAATCAGAGGAACTGAGGTGAGACAGAAAGTGACTTTATCTTCAGTCCTACCGAACCTGATAAAGAGCGGCCATTTTTTATGAGAATCACACCTTTGGCACTAGATTTAAGGCCATCTTTAATTCAACCAGCATGTTTATTAGCCTGGGCCAAAGTCCAGACGTGAATCTGATAAAGAATCTGAGGAAGGAGTTAAACATTAGGGTGATGGCAGGGAAGCTGTCCATCATAAAAGACTTGGAGCTCATCACCAGAGGAAACGTGTAAAAACTTCTCAGTACGTATAAGAAGAAATTAGCGACTGTTGAGCCATTTTATTAACATTTAAAATCAATAATAAAATAAAGAATCCCCCGTGGTTCCTTTAAGACACATTAGCTGTAGTTAAATAAATAAAGACATATTTAAAAATAAATCTGACAAGCATACAAATCAGCCTAACTTTATGTCCTGATCCTTCAATTTTCTTTTAAATCAAACTCTGAATCCTGGCTCATTTTTTAATATTTCCTCCTAAAAACAAACAGAATATCTTCAGAAAACAGAACTGGGCCACTTGAGGTCAAGTATTTGAAAAGCAAAACCATTTCAACATTTTATGAAAAGAAGAACAGAAATTATTAAGTCATTCCAGCCTTGAAAAGCCTGGAATGTAACTGAAGAGAAGTGAATTTAGTGACTGCATGGGTTTAACATAACCATACAGTAGCCAAAGTGAACGTCAAAACCTTCATCCAGTCTCCCCTAACCAATGAGCATCATCTCTGCAGGTTAAAAACAGTCCACAACTCACCGTCGGTCATGCTGACACTCTGTTTTGCCAAAACATTTCCCCTGGATTCTCTTTGCCCAGATAGTTTTCTACAAGCAGCTAAAAATACACGCGGCCCACTGGATTAGCTTAGCGTTGGAGGCGAGGTAGCTGCAGGTGTTCGTTTTATATTAACGTGTGACCCCAGCGCTCACATGCTGACATGTTGGAGTCATGTAGCGTTCTGCAAGAAACTCCTGAGCTTGTGGATCCAAGACAAGATGTGTTGGTGAACTGATAGGCAAGCAAGACAGAAAAAAGATGGCTTTTTGCTTTCAACAAGACTGCAACTCATAGGAGAATATTCCTGTATAAATATCAACGGTATCTGCCACTGTGTGCCGCTTAGCACCATAATAAAGTTTGTTTTATTATCGAGTAAGGTCCAAAATGCATCCGTTTTGGGCTCAAGAGTCCATGAGTAGCCTGGAGCCTGTCAGTTATAATCATTAAATTACAAAATTCAGCACTTATTTTGTTAATGCTAACATCAGCAAACATTCTAGCATTAGCATGTAGCCATCATTCTAAAAAACTAGTTCCGGATAACAAGTTACAAACTGCATGTTTAACAGTAGCAAAATTTAAATGGAAACATGCCATTTGAAAGGAAAAGTTCACCAGAAAAAAAATAGTTTTTTTCTACAATGAAGTGGTTTTTCAGCTGTAATCAGATTTTGCGCATTTCACAAAACTGCAAAGGAAACGTGGCGGCCATGTTTACATCTGTTGCCCCCTTGATTTTAATGACTTATTGCGTGAAAAAGCTTATTCATGTATGATTTTAGTTGCATTTCTTAATTAGTTGTGTTTTTACATTAGCTGAATATCAAAAAACGCTTTGCACCCATTTGTTATGAAAACAGAGCTGTCCATTGATCTGCTATGCAGCCTGCAGGCATATATACTGTTGTGAGTTAAAATGCTAACAGTAGCCAAGATGCCAGTATTAGCATTTCACCAAGACTAGCATGTTAGCTACTATTACTATGCTTAGAGGACATTGTTTTTCTGTCATTAGCAATCTGCAGCTAGCACTGTGTGCTATGCTAACCGTAGCTTTTGTAACATGAACAGGCTAATCTTTGCATGCTTGCTAAGACTACTAGCTACCAATATTTTGATAATATTGGGAATTTGTTACAGTTCTTAACACTTTATTGGTATTTATACTTTGCTTAGGACTTTTAAGAAGGTAATAAGCAGCTTGTCAGAGTCCAAACAGAAATCTTTATCCCTGATGTTTTCAGTTGATTCAATTTAAAAAACAACATATTTTTGACATATTAAACAAGTTAACTTAATGTAAGCCAGAAAAAACATTAAATATCCATTAATGTTGCAGCATGAAAATGAATGGCAATAGTCTCCTGAATCTTAACTAAAGTGGAAAGAAACCCAAATCTAAGTGGAGTCCATTTCACTTTCTAGTTCATTTCAGTTAAATGAACAGAAATAAAAAAGGCACACAGTATGCAATTTCATTTATAATTTAGTCTAACTGCATTAAACTGTGGTAAACATGAACTTAAATGGATAAATTACTGGAATAAATTGAACTGCTTGAAATGGGAATGAATTTGTTTTGACTGACTGGATTAAAATGCTTCAATTTTTAATCTGTCAATAATTCATTCATAAATACATTAATCACAAAACTATAACTTGGACTGGAGTTTATGATGCCGGCTTTTGTATTTTGATCTCAATGTTTGTTGAAATTAACAGAACTGTATCCATTCACAATTAAACAACAAATCTGAGTGAACCAACAAATGCATCTGGATTTAATTGGAGACTAAAAACAAGTTGAATGAGGGTGAAGTGGAACGAATAAATTGGGGTGTGTGTTATTTACATTGTTTTTATTTATTTTTTTGCACTTTATTGAGTGTGCAAAAAGAACCACTGAAGGAAACTGAAGGAAAAACCTCTGCATATTTTAGCAGATGGAGGATTTATCTTTTGTCCATGAGCCATTTCTCCCGCTAGCGCTAGGCTAGCACGTTTGTTTTGGTTGCATTTACCCAGAATGCCCTGCGCTGTGGTCCACTTCCTTCTTTTGGTCCGATTGAATTACAACTTGGATAAGCTGGACAGATAATCTGATTGCAACTAATTAAATTATGACTGGATTAAACGGGAGTGAACTAAACGATACAGAGTAAGATTTCAGTTTGAATACGGCTTCAACTTCATAATTAGGAAATTTTAGGAGTTAAATCGTCACCTAACTGAATGATATACAAGATTATTTAAAAAAAATAAGCCACTTTTAGCTGAACAATGTTTACAGAACAAATGTAATCACAGTTCTTTAAAAATATAAATTGGATTTTTTACTTTTAAACATGTTAATAACCAGTCTGATTCAGATTGACTGGTGGCCCTGTAACTCACTTCAACCATTGGAAAAGCCAAAATAAGAACAGCCCTGAAAGCTTAAGTAGCAATTATCTACTTTTTTTGTTTTTTAATTCTGGGAGTTTTGTGCAAAACTTTAAAAAAATACTTAATTAACCCTAAAGGAAAATTAAATGTGTTTAACTCATTATCCAAGGTTCTCCAAAGAGTTGTTATACATGCTAATTAGCAAGCGCCAACAGTAACTTTAATAATCGGGTATATGCCCATATTTTCATATCGGTGCATCCAAATTCCGAATATTCACATCACAACCTCTTGAGGAATGAACTGAAACAGAGTAACAAAAATTACCCCAGAATTCAGGTTTAAGACGTACCGTACCTTTAATTTGTGTCCAACATGCAGTATCTTTGTTTCATTTAAACAGTATTTCAATACCCCATTCAATCAAACAAAATCTGCTTTGATTTATCTGTGTTTGGACATTTTAATAAGATAATTACTGTGAAACCACACGTGATATTTTTACCAAGTCGCCCATCCCTAATCTCAGAGTAGACAGCAGTAACAGCAGGTTTCATGAAAACACAAAGCTGGCAGCAGCTACACAACTTTAACATTATAAAACACTTTATCAAGCTTCAAAGTAAGTTTAAAACTGAAGATATGTGTAATAAAAAGGAGATTTTAACAATAAAACAACTGACCTGATCTAGATCTGAAAAGGAAGCCGTCTTCCTGCCAACCAGCCTGAAGGCCAAAGAATCACCAAGCAACCGGAAAACACGAGCAGAATACCCCTAACACCAAATCCAGCGTTACACCCCCCGAACCGAACCCCCACAGAGAGCCGTCCGAGCGGCGCAGCACCACCCCGGGAAGGCTCCACAAAGGAGGCGCAAACAGGCTCCAGAGAACCGAGAAAGGCAGCAGGAAAAGCCGCTTCTCCTGCCGCTGTCAACTCCCATCTGCGGGCTAAAAATAAACCTGACAGACAGCGAAGGAGACGCCCGGAGCTTCCCCCGGTTCAGCGGCGTCTGATCGGTAAACCTTCCGATCTCCCCCCTCCTCCCCCGGCTTCCACTTTAGGAGATTACGGATAAATTAACGAACTGGAGCCCAGGGACAGGCAGACTGTTGCGGCCAGGTAAGCTAGCAGACCTCCCAGCAGTTCCTGTTGGGAGTTCCCTGCCTTCCTGGCTCCCGGAGGTTGGATCAAACCGAGGCGGAGTAAAAGTCCCGAGGCAGCCGCGATCAGAGGCCGCTACGCCGGGAACAGAAGCTATACTTGCCCGTCGGGAGGACCGAGGCTCCGGGCTTCTTGGTTAACATGGCGGCCGCTCCTCTCCTCTGGTCTCCACTGAGGAGGACACCTCCTCTTCCTCCATCTTCAGCTCCTCCTCTTCCTTCTACTCCTCCTATGGCTCCTCCTTTAAATCGTCCTTTCCTACCAGGGGCGCACCCAGATGGGGCCCCACTCAGAATCTTAGTGGAAAGCCATAATTATATTTTATTTATAATAAAGTTTGATGATTATGTTACTACAGTAAATGGATGTGTTATTCATTTGTTTTGTTTTTAAAAATGGTGGGATTATGTTT